TTAAACATTTAGCAAAAATCTTTCATCTCAGATGTTTGTTAGGTAACTTTTTAACACGATGCTTACATAATTCATGTAGCTTAAAAAAGCTTGATTAAGGATTTCTATTCCTACCTGCCTTAAGCTGCTGCTTCTCTCTGTGTTACCAAATCCTACTGTCAGTCTGACAAACACATGCAAGAAAAATTGATGGGTGATATGTAAATTCCTAGTAAATGGAATAAACATGAAAACTCCAATGGTCTTTCAAGGTGCCATGAAGAATATAAAGCATTACAAATTTAATTATAGTTTCCTTCTGCAGGAAAATGTTAGTTATTCCTGCCACAGGAAACTGGGAAATGCTCATTAGCACACTGCTGAAGACAAGACATGAATCAAACACGGGAAAATAAACAACAGGGAAGTATCTTTAATTTATGCACAAATATACTTGGCTTCTCTTTCTTTAAGCCAATAAAGTTCAGGGGAAAAGTTGGTGCAAAACTTTTAAGTGACATTGATGCTACTATGCACAAGGAAAGCAGCTGTGACAGAAAGGAGATCATTCTTTTTCCCCCCTGCAGTGAGCTACCATTGTAAAGCACGGTGCAGAGCTGGAAAAAATGGCTGAGGAGCTTGGATTTCTCTATGCTTAACACAGAAACTCCATTGAACTATATAAACAGCTGGTCTGAAAAGTGTTATCACTCTGTATTGTGATTCTTTTTATTCCCGTGTTTGTAACAATAGATGGATGCTGTGAAGGTCTGGTGGTATTTTATTTTTGTTTTTCCTTTCAAAAAGGTGAAAGGAAGACTGCAGAGCTGTTGGTCTATAGTACAAGCAGTATAAGAAGTGATTTTCCCGGTAATAAGTCAATATTAAATAAGTGTAAGTTTTGATGCATTAACACTAGCACTTCTCATACAGCAGTCCAGACTTGCATCATGTAAAGATTTGTCTTATCTATTAATCTGAGTTGCACTGTACCTGACTTCAGACCTATCATCTGTGTCAGGGTGGCAACTGTTACTTGCAATAGCCCTGGTTTGACTGTAAAGGAGAAGGTCATTTTGAAACAGGTCACGTCAACCCCAGGAACTGTCCACAGACTGACTTCAGACAGTTTGTAACTGCTGCAGATAAGAAGTTTGAGCCATGTCTTCTATCTTTTTCTCTATTCCTTCTTCTCTATTCTCACATCTTTCTCTTCTTCCCTCTCTAATAATGCACTAGGCCATGGCCTGTCTCAGTTGCTGCACTTCTTCCTGGATTTCATGTGACACTTGCATAGTCACCCTCTTAAGCCCCTGCTTCAGGATTCATGGATGCTGAACAGATCGTGACCAGACTGGGTAGTTCTGAGCTCCAGGCAGCTGCCAGCTGCTCTCCTGCTGCTTTAGCAGAAGGCCTGAGTCCCTTGGACATCCACCCTGAAATAATGCCAGAAACAGCAAAGCAATGTGGTCTGAAACATCTTTTATCATACCTGGGAAGGAAGAGGAACACTGTCTCAATTAACAAGTCCAAGATTACAGCTACACAGCAAAACCACCCTCACCTCCTTGCCCAAAGTTGGTGGGAAAGGTTAACGTAGGTTTAAGAAGTGGTATAGCAACACCACATTGTACATAGCTACAAATCGGGCTTGAATCACATTACAGCCAATAGGAAGCATAGCATTTGATACAATCAGGATTGCTTTAGTGGCTGAAGGTTTAGCATTAAGTGGCTGCACCTCTGCTTTTCAGAAATCTACAAAGACTGGAATTCACTAGGGAATTTAGTGTCACTGGGAACAGACGGTTAACGCCCATCCACACACACCTTTTAATCTTGGCTTTCAACAGGACCTGGAAAGACAGAGTTGAAAATAATCGCATATAATGAAGTAGACTTGGTGGAGCAAGAAGTTTCTGCTTCCCTGAGATGTCTCCTACTGGAAGAATAAATGCTGATACACTTACCACTATGAATGAAAAGGAAATGGTATGAGCTGTAAAAATTGCGGATAGTTGCAAATAGGCTTTGTTCTAATTTGTGTCAAGGTCATCCATGAGCTGCTTTTTCCAGACTAAGCAACTTATTATTCTATCAGTACTATGCAGTGTTCTCTGTGTGTTTGTTTTTTCATTGGGGTAGTTTGGGTTTTCTTCTACCTTAACATTCTTCTTAGAGGTCATAAACAACAGCTCTGCATTTACTTGAGTTCTGCTTTAACTCTGTGTTGTTGATAACACAGTATGCTCTGCCACTCAAGTCCAGGGCAACAAGCTTGCAGCATCCACTCAACACGGGGATTACCAGCAGCAACAGAAGAGGAAAAACAGAAACATTCAAAGACTGCAGACAGCGATGGCATTGGTAATAAGCTGGTATGGTTGCAAAATGAGCAAATTCTTCACTGGTTTGCAAGCTGTGATTTGTACATATATCCAGGCAGGTTTCATCTGGACAATACAGCAAACCTTTCTTGAGATTTAAGAGCAAGGTGAAAAGCAGGTATGACTCCCAAGTGTTAAAAAAATCAACTAAGAAAATCAGGCAGGAGGAGCTATTCAGGTAGCGAAGATCTGGAAAAGACTCTTCTTTCTGAGTACCATGCCATGGTTGGTAACTATTCTTAATGTTACCTATGCTTTCAGGTGCCTAGCAGATGGAAGGAAAGAATGGCAGATAGGCTATCACCACACCTAAATGAAAAGTCTTTTCCTGCTGTCTTCATAGAAAAAAAGGCTGGTCTGGAAGTAAACCCACATGTATTTTTAATCAGTCCAGAGCATTTTAGAAAATGCCACTGAACTGGCAAGCTTGAAGAAAAACATTTTATATACAATTAAGAGAGGCAGGAATATTCCAGTGCTGCGTCATATGTACTTCAACATATTTGGATGAAGTGTTCAATACCAGCTCCTATCAGGTTACTTGACAATCCATTTTAAGCACTGGGTGATGCAGATCCTCTTCTGAGTAAGAGCAGCACTGCATGGCTTCCTGCAGACAATGTACCACACTACAGGAAGGGCAGCAGTTGGAACTAAAAGGCTTCCTTTTATTGTGGTAACCTTACAACATGGTGGTGCAAAGCACATCTAAGTGCTTAGAGGAAAAGCATGGGGTCTGGTGGGTTTTGGTTTGTTTTTTAAAACTGCTTTCCAATTGCAACCCCCAACCACCACACCCTGCCCGATGCAGTGCCCTCACCCCCAGAGGTTGCTGCCTGTACACTGAATCTTTGATGCCTGAAGATGACTCATCAAAAGTACCAATCTGCACCTTCCCCAGCATCTTCTCTCCCCTCCCTCTAGAAAAGGGAAGGGCAACTCTGTGCTCAGTACTACACTAAGTAGGAGCAAAATAAAAAATAAATAAAATAAAAAAACCTAACCATGTGTGCCTCTCTCTTGCATGGAAAAAAAATCTTCCTTTTATAGCCCAGCCATTAAAGGACTCAAAGGTGTCTGTCAGAGATGTGTCCAAATGTATTGCAGCTTTTGATGTGTTAAAATACCAGCTCTGTGCCTTTTAGCATCATCCACATACCTGTGAGCACTGAATAATCAAATACGTCAGTACTTGTTTTATAAATAACTTAAGAACTTAGATTAAATTCAGGCAACCTTTAACAGCATTGCACTGGTTAAACACTGAATAAAGAACTTCAGTTAGAAATGCTGTAGTATTTAGAGACTAGGGATTTCTAGAATAAGATTAACATCCTTCATTACTGAAACAAGCTTTATTTCATTTATGCTTGCTGCTACATCAAACCAGGTCACAATATGCTCAGAATGCTGTGGAATCAGTTATCAAATAACATTCATTTTAAGGTATGCTTTAAATGAAGGACAAGGTGACTGATGACTATCCAAGGTCAGCTGTCATTAGAGAAGCCATCAAATGTTATTCTAGCACATTCCAGGAACCAGATGCCAATTTGGAAGTAGAACAATATCATCAGTATGAAGCACTTCTGTACCATGGCAGCAGTAAAAAGGGCTCTCTCCAGCTAATTACAGCTTCTTGATAAAATACTTCAAATAGTGCTCCACTTAATGCAGCAAAATTCAAAGATGATTTCTGAATGAATGCTGTACCTACAGAAGACTGCCTTCAAAGAACAGCAGTAACATCAAGACTGGTACTATAGGGATAAACAATTGTGCAGAGGCTTCCAGTGCTGCACTGTAACAAAAATATAACTAAATCCTTGACTGTATGTAGTAAACGGATGCTTTTGTGGAAGGCACAGCAATTTTAAGCACATCAGGTTTCCTCTATTTCCATACAGCTTTTCCCAAAACACTACTGGGATTTTTGCAGCTTCCTGTATGAGACCAAGTTATGTCAATACTACTTAGTGACACATTCACTGCCCACAAAAGTGTCAAAGCCTTGATGTAAAGCTATTGAGGTCAGCTCACCCAGAGCCAGTTATCATTACAGTCAGTCTGTAACTACAGAATTGTGCTTGGTCTGTTCTCTTCAAGCATAGTTACTCCCGAGCAAATATCCTCCTCTTTCTCATGCCATCAGGAAAGAAATAAGGCTCAGAGCAATACCTTTTTCATTAAGGTCAAAGATCTTAATGTGAAAAGATGCTAAAATGTAGGGGCTATTTATAGCCTCCCTGGCACAACAGCCCCTCTTCCACCTTACAAGCTGACATCCAGTATTATTACAAGGTCTGCTATTGGAAAGAGGAGAATTAAGCCTTACAGGTTGCTGCAACTGGAACACTTAAATGCCTTGCTGTTTGGCTTTAAGGGGAAAACAAGGTTAAACATGGAAAACATGGACTACAGAATTCTTTTGGAGACCATTCTAAATCTAAATCAGTATTGTTGCATGTAACAAACGCAGAGTTAATACTGTACTTAGGAGAGCTAACAATTCTTCAACTTTTCATTCTTCCTCTTTCCCTAGTGTTCCTCAGTTTCTATGGAAAATGGCTCATCTCCAAAAAGTCAGTAGACAATTCCCTCTGGGACTGCTCAAATTAAACTTTACAAGAAAAATTCCGTTCAACAGATTTTTATTTATCAATTTGGTTTTGCGATTGTAACTGTTTCAGTTTTCTTCCACTGAAGACAAAATACAAACTTTTACAGCAACACTTGCAGAAAACATTCATAACAGCTTGATATTTCCACAAGTTGGCTTCAAGAAAAAGCCAGATAACTTGAAGAGTCACTACAGTTCAGTGCCTAAAATTCATGTAGGGGCAAATACAACTACAGATCTATGAGCTACCTTCCACTTCAAAACACAAGGCCAAGAAAAACTGCAAGTTGTTACCTCAGGTTTTTTTGCTAGTATACAGCACGGATCAGCCCATACTGATGTTTCACAAAGGAGTAATTACTAATCATAGTGAGGCAGCCAAGCACATGGTGAAGATGTATAACCCAGCCCCCCCTCCCCCCAAACAACCAAAAGGGAAACAATCCTATCCAGAACTCTGTAAACTGGGGATCATACTTTGTTGGCAAGGCTAACAAGCAAGTGGTGCATAGGGCAGGCCTTCCAGAACACGACTGAATAAATACCGTACAAGCTTGAGTTTTTCAGATTGGCATCTGTACATGTCAGAGATCCTGGGTTTCCTACAGTCTTGGAAAGTAGCAATTGCTGGCACCAAGAAAAAATTAGTAACTAAGGCAAGGTATCCCTTCTACCCTTTTAAACAAAATTTCAGGCAAAAGATTAAGGAACTTTAAGGCACTTTAAAAATTATTTTTAGTTTGCTTAACCAGCAGACTTTATCAGCAACCTAAATCAGGGTCAGCCTAGCTCATGATTAAGCATTTTAGCAGTATTTTATAATGTCTTCCATGCCATGAAGTGTTCTGTAGCAATTTTCTGCAAGTTTCCCAGAAGATAGCCCTTTGAGGCCTCTAGAAATTATGTACTAGGCATAGAGTTTGCTTTGCTGAGCTGAAGAAGAACTATCACAATTTAGCAGGTTATTTTGCTCACTGCAAAGCAGAGAATACAAGCTCATGGATATCTTTTTAAACAAATAAATGTAGTAGAACAGTTCTGAGATAAGGAAAGGACAGATTAAGTGATTTCACAGTAAGGCCAAGGATATACCATCTAACCCACACACATACTGTTGCTGGAAACTGGCTGCTCACTCTGCTGTTTTAATAAACCTGAGCTGATTGTCTTAGTTTTGTTTAGAAAAAATCAAAAGCTAATAAACTCAAAGATACAGTACTGGTGAGTAACTTTGTAGCAATTTCAGTTTTCTATGCAGCACAACAGAAACAACGCCATTTGAACTAGAAGAACAAAAGAAAGCAACACTGTGCACTTTAGTTTCCAACTGAAGTGCACTTAATTTGCTTCATATTTAAGCTCCACTGCCATGACTATTATCTGCATTAATGCGTCATTTTCTACTGGGTGCCAAATTCCAGTCAAGTCGGAGCTATCAACAGTACTACAGGTTATCGATCAAAGTATATCATCAAAAACTATGTATTATGTGCTACATCCACCACCTGAATTTTATCCTTACTTCCATTCTTCCTGTGGGTTTACTTTCACAGATGCTCAAGTCACTGGAAAGGACGTACCTCTGATACTCAGATCACACTGGCTGATCCAGCCAAGGGAAAAAAAAAATATATATACTATTTGGCCAAATAGATTTCCTTAACCAGCTCACTGGAGGGTGACACCAACCCCATGCCAGGAAGGGTGGAGGGGGAAACTAAAAAGGTGCAGCCCTGGCAATCCCAGGACTACAGCAATCCTGACTAGGATCAAATTAGCAGATCCTCTGCATTACGCTTAACTGCTCCTCCAGCAAGCAGACATACCGGAGGGTAAAAAGAAACAAACCACCCAAACCTTGAAATTAATTGCAATCAGTCCAGGAACTGTTTGAATAAGAAAATTCCCAGGATTTTCAAAACACCAGTATTTCAAGTATAAATCTAAGTTGTTACCTTTTTATACAGGGAGTGAACTGAATTTTATCATTAGTTTTATGGTTTGTAAGCCAGAACAAAAAGTAAACAAAGTTTCTGTCTGTAGGTGAACGTTACTGTACCGTGCTTCTCCACCCTCACAAGGTCAATAGGGGACAGTTACTTAGTGTAAAAATTTTTTAAACCGGAATGCTCAAGTCCCATGTATTCCATTATCCTAATTTAAGCTAGTATTTAATAGCTTTATCTGTCTTTGAAGTAAGTGGGACATTTTTGCAGCCTTTTGTTTACTCTTTTAAGGCACTAATCTTCATTTCCCCTTTAAAAGGATTATCCTTACATGCCCTCTCCACCTGCAACATTAACTGAAAAGGGTGTAGGATATGTTTGGAATGCAGTTTTTAACAGGCAACCTTTATTCTTGTGTATAAAAAAAAGGAAAAAAGTTATGTGATTCTGTTAAGACATCATCTACTTCTACAGTTTAGTTTATCTTTCTAGCAGTACGCTTTAAGAGCCATACGCTAGTATAAATGGTATTTCACTCCCTGAAGTCAGTCACCAGTAATTCACATCTTGACAAAGCTGAAGGGATACTGTATCAAATGTTGATTAAATTAGCCTTCACAAGATTATCTACTCAAGACAGTGTTGCCACTGAATAAGAATCTCTGAATGTCTACATTTGGCATATCAAAAAAAAAAAAAGTCCCACAGCAGCAGCCACTAAAGGAAAATAAGACAGCCATTAGAACCCATGCAGCATATTCCAAGTACTCCTGTTGAAGAGACTAATGTCACATCTTGCCAAGTATAATGTTGCAAAAATATTCTTTTAAAGTCTTCTTTTAGAGATTTAAAGGATATTATGAACTGCTGTCTTCCATGAGCAACAGAAAATATTTTGGTTCAGTGAACTACAGGTGTTGGGCTACAAGTCCATTACAAAGTGGCAGGTCCTAAAGTGTGTGGTAGTTACGGTCTTTTGACTTGCAGAATTTGTACAAAAAGAAAACAACAGCCTGCAGACCCAGAACAAGGACAATTCCACCTATGAAACTTGCAGCATCAAAAGTAGATTTGCGTGGAGAAGGTGCAGGAGTCACAGTAGCATTTGTACCTGTTAAATACGACATTAAGAGTTTGTAAGTGCACAATGCTCACAATAGTCTTCCAGGTTCTAGTACTGGCTTTCTGGTATCAAGATTACTCACTGTATCAAATACCAATAAGGAAACAAACAAAAAATAAATAAAAAGACACGTCAGCAGCTGCATTTAGAACGGTGATACTGAAATTCTGATTAAATACTGTTTGTGAAAGGTTAGAGCTATTTATAGCTGCACTGCTCTGGACCTCAATACTGAGCAAGTCCCAGCTGGACGTTTTGTACTTCAAAAAGCAAAAGCTTTCCTCCTTTACACAGAAACATGTACTGATATACTCAGATTTGAAACACATTTTCCAATCTCTGCTGCTTGCTCCAATTCTGTGTTTAAATTCAATTATTATCTTCCATCTACTAGACAATAATCTAGCTTAAAGAAATTAGGTGAAGCCACAACATACATGGATTTGGAAGTAACAGCCATCTGCTAATGGCTGGTTTTAAAGAGCTTTACTTCATGAGAGCTCTTCATGGAACTGCATATTCAGGACTGATGCAGAAATAAAATACTTCAGCTTATTTCCATCATTATTATGCTGAAGTGAAAAACAAAATGCCACCTCCCAAACATAAGTGAGTTAACAAGTGACTTCCAGCCACACTACTAAAACCAGGCAGCTCATTTAATTTGACCAACACATCTGACTTTTAATATCTCACCAATAAGCTCTGTTTCTCAGAGTTCTACCTTGCTACATACATACGTACACCTCCTTCAAATTACAGACATGCCATAAAGTTCAAAGTGAGGATAGCAGATATATCAATACTACTTTAATGTTAACATTTAAGTCTTTCAAGATGACACTTTTAAAATAACACTAATTTCTAAGTATTTAACGCTTTAATTAGGCTAGTAGTAGCAGTTACCTGGAATACTGGGTGTCGTGGTAGCTGAAGTAATAGCAGTTGTAGGTACAGGAGGATGTGCAGTTACACTGGTGACATTAGCTGCTTGAGAGAAGACATATACTCATACCATAAACTTCAAGAGCAAAGTTCTTATGTAAATCACTTGTCTCGTTTTGCTTAACAAGAATAAGCTCTGACCTCAGACTGTACCCCACACAATTTAGATATTCAGCTGCATGGCATTTAGCCAAATTTCTTCAAACTTGCAATTAGCAAGGGTTTTTTTCAAACCTGCATAACAATGTTATCCAAATATTTCAATGTTTTTCACAGATCAGACACTCATTCTTCATTCAGACAAACCACTTTTCAAGTACCAGTACAAAGGCTGGTATTTGAACAAGAATCAAGACAGTTGTTTCAAGACAACTGATAATCTGCATCAAGTCAAAGGACTTTCATCAAACAGCCCTCAGAATTAGTGTTTATTGTACTAAAAGTACTTAATGTGATACCTTAAGGTATAAACACTTAAAGGATAGCAAAACTTCCTCTTTCTCCCCCTGCCATCTTCAAAAACACTAACTGAATAACATCACTGAAATAAGCAAACACTCACCTGTAGACAGTCTTCTATAAGCTACCAAGCCAGAACACTGGGGCTCTGACCATCACCCCCCCTCCACCAGATCAGCACTACTAAAATTTAATCAGTATTCTACTATGTGCGTGGGAGAAGTGCCAACATTTGTAGGTTTACTCAGAGCTAAACCTCACTCTGCTGTACATTCGGCTGTTCTGAGCCTAATCAAGTACCAACTCGTTATCTCCCAGCTCCCTTAAGCAGATGCTGTAAAAAACAAACAAAAAAAAACCCAAACAAACAAAAAACCCACACCCAAAAAGCCCAAAACCAACCAAACCCCAATATTTTTAAAAAGCTTCACTCTTAACCTGGCAGCACATGCAACAACAATGAGGAAATGACTAATCAAATTTAAGCAATTATCACTGAGCCAATGCTTAATTATACTGTAAAGAAGCATTTTCTGAGAGTTTTATAAAATCCCCTTCTTCCAAAGCTTGGGACCATTTATGCATTTCATACATCAGATGTTTGGTGGTCATGTTACTGCAGTGATCTGTGGAAAAAGCCTTGTCCTTTATTTCATTCACCAGTTCTGAGGTTGACTGTCATTCTACGTTCAGAGGCACTGTATTACCTATAGTAGTATGAGCTGTTGTACCAGGACTGGCTGTGGTCGTATTGGAAGATGCTGTGGTAGTAGTATTGGAAGATGTTGTGGTGGTAGTATTGGAAGATGCTGTGGTAGTAGTATTGGAAGATGCTGTGGTAGTAGTATTGGAAGATGCTGTGGTAGTAGTATTGGAAGATGGCGCAGGACTACTGGAAAGAGCAACTGTAGGAGCCATGAAAAAAGTGAAGAGTTAAAGAGAATAATCACACTATTTAACAAAAAAAAAAAAAAAAAAAATCTCAAAACAAAACCAACAAGCCACAAAAGGAACAGCATCAGGCTGTGCTTTAAGGAATTCAGATAGCACCAAGTTTTATTGCAGTTTTGTTCTGAAACTGCAAAGAAGTTGAATGTTCAATTCACACTAATGGCAAAAGTTGCATGAGCAACTACAAGGAAAACCTTGTCACAGGCAGCCCAATCAAGCTAGCGTTCAATTGCTAATTCAAGATTCCTCAAAGCAAATAGAAGGGAGAAAAGTCCTACTGTACAAGCAGTAGAACTGTGCATGCTTTACACAACAGGATGCTAGGTATTCAGTACTGCTTCCCAACCTCACTGCAACTAAAACTGAATCTGACCTATCAAGCTCAACTAGAAATCAGTGATTAGACTGCTGAAGTCATATGGGGTGGGGGAAAACAAAGACATCCTTATGAAAAACCCTTCTGTTCCAGGAATTGTTGCTGGTTGTATGTGATCCCAACCTCAGCATGTGCCGTAAAAATACCCCACTGACCTTGTAACCGTGAAGCCTTCTGCGACTGACTGAATTAACAGAGTTAATCACATATGGACATCTTATCTAAACTGTTTCCTAATCATACACCAATACATCAGCAAGCTTCCTCCTGAAATACCATTACGTTCAGAAGTCTTTATGTCCAAAAGCGAGCTCAGGCTCACTTAAGTGTGGTTATCTACACCTGGAAACAATTCAGCATGGCGTGAAACCAGAGCTGACTGTTTCTATAAAGATAGGCTGGATACATCAGAATATACATTCTCTCAGGTCACATTCACATCAAGCCAGGTTAGTGCCACCTTGATGTTCTTCCATGTCAATCCTCAATCCTCAAATATAGTGCTGAGCCATGACACTGTAGGAGCTGATAAGGTATACTGGCTTCTGTCACACCAACAAAGATCCTCTACTAATGGTGACAATTAGGTTTCCTTGAATACCCAGAAACTAAAACACAACAACCTGATAAACACCACTACAAGTTTAACAGGAACAGATTGTAGAAATTCTACTCTCAGATATAGAACAAGGCACTGTAACACCATGCTCTCTTTGCAAAGCACTTAAAAATGGTACTTTTAACACTCCTGATTAAAAGGAGATTCTTACAATTTTAGAAACAACACAGGAAGTCCAAGTGGAATCATATCTGACTGGCTGCCACTGCCACCATCACCACAGTAGCATGGAAGCTTCATCTCTGTTGGTGCAAGCCAATCTCTTTAGCAGCACTGTTGAACTCCTCTAGAGTATTAAGGATTTTGCTGTTCCAGATCTTAAACACAGAAAATCCTATTTTCAAGTCCATTTCTTGTCAGCTTTCAGAAAAACTAAAATTGGTGGGCTTTCACAACAGTGAACGTCAAGATTTGATCCAAATTACTCATATTCCACATATCTGCTTTGCACAGCAAGCACAAACTGATGAAAAGACTGAAGTAAATTTTCAACTGAACATGTTCCTAGCATCAAGGATTTACCTTACACAGTTCTATAACCCAGACTCTATACTTCAGGACTCCATGAAATGTTGTGCTAGTTAATAATTAAAACTGGAAGGTTCATAAGCTTTTCCTATTTTCTGCATCTCAGATGAAGCAGCAGACTTAGCAGGTGAAAGTTATTGTGACCATTAAAGCTGACTGTTTTGAGAATGCTGAGAAGTTCCTTAGGATATGCTACATCTAATAGAAACCACCACCCATTTTAATTTGAGAAACCAAGGCAGCAGCCAGAGAGACATCTGCCTAGTAGAGTATGTCAGGCTTCTTGAAACAGCAGCAATAAGCAGTAAACTGAACGTACAACAAAACTGTGTATTTTAGTTTCATATATCACAGGTTTAAGCTGGCAGCAAAGTGCTTATTTACATACTTGTACACACTTATGTAAATTGTAGAAGGCACATTAACAAAGGTCAACAGACAAAGGAGTTGTAAACACAACTGCTTCACATTAAACAATGTGAAAACCGAGTGTCTAAATACTTACAAGAACACTGTTCTTCAGCAGTACAGCTTTGATTCTTCAAAGTTACTTCTGTTTCATTTACACATATGCCTATGTTTCCTGTCAGAAAAGAGCCAAGAATATTTACAGCAGCAGAACTTGAAAGTGTTTGAGACATTGTTCATAAATACTAATAAACTGTTCATCAACGAACTAAACACCATCTTCTAGCCAGGATAACATAAAGCCACTTCAATATGCAGGACTTCAGTATTGTATTACTAATTAGAAAACTTTGAGTATTTTCTTAAACTACAGCTACTTTACCACTCAAATCAACACTTAGGCAATACTCACACGTGGTTTTGCATGATTCTACAGTAACTGTATAGCTTGTTATTTTTTTATTCATATCCTATAAAATTAGAAAGTGTTTCTACTATTTGTAACATTTTCCAATTTGAATATTTTGCATTCTGGTAGCATTATTAAAAAAAAAAAAAAAAACACAAAAAAACCCCAACCTTACGGTCTTAAATTCTACATGCAAGCAAAACCTAAGTTCTGGCTTTTTAAACAGATCCTTGACCTTGAAATTGTTGAAGACAGCCATTCTGTCTTTGTAAAAACTGTTTCCACCTCACGTAAGAGGTACAAATAATCTACCCGAACACTACTTACCTAGTCTCTACAAGGCTTTGTCAACAGCAACTTCATCTCCTCCAGGCCTGAGTACCAGAGGCCACCTAAATGTAGTTATATCCAACTCTACCACAATGAGGAAAAACAAGGCTCTGAATGAGACCAGCTAATGCTTCTTTGGGTCTGTCATGTTCCCACTAGTGGGTTGACAATTCTTAGTTTTAGGAACACTACTCTTCAGATTATCTTATTTAATAGACTCCTCTCCCTTACTGCACTTCAATTCAGGAGTAGTCCCTCAAAAAGGACTGAAGCACAGTTATGTCCCTGCATATCAGAACCCACTCATGACTCCTAACAGCAAACACAAGTGACTAGTTTGTTCTACAAACATTCTGAGCCATCTGGAAAACATCAGCTTATCAAGAGCACAGATATAAATTAAAAGCCTTAGAAATCTGGGATTATTTTGAATGTGCTCAGCTGTCTCAATGTAACACCTTGACATGCTCAACAACAGATAAACCTTGCAGTTAATGCTCCATTAGATTATCAAACAGAACAGTGTATTTGTGCAATGAACATTAATATAGTACATCTAGCTTGGTTTAAGGTTCTGCATGGCATAGTAAGAAACACTTTTAGCACCGTTTAGTCCTCCTTACCTTCACAACTTATCCACTTGCAGCCTGTTACACTTGTGCCATCACCAATACACGAACTGCAGTTAGAGATGTTTCCACAGGTACCTAAAAGAGAAAAGGACAAGAAATGCATTGATTAGGACAAAACTGCTACTGTCAAAGAGCATCTTCACCCACAGAAACAACTCTGAGATCTGTACCTTCCCCTATGTTCATCTGTGTTAAGGCACAATCCTTCTCACCGAACTACACACAACTGAAAAGCTGAAATTTAAAGATACATTTGACAAAACACATTTCCCTTCAGACACTACAATACTCTGAAACCAGAGTCCACATGTACACCAATTTTGCCTGATATAACCTCTAACCACAATAAACTCAGATAATAGAGGATGTACTATTCTAGTGGAAATTACCAAAGTCCAAATTAATTTTGCAGAAGTTCACTGAAACCTCAGATGGCAAGAACCTTGCTCCTTTAGATTACATTTTTCCTTTAGGTAATTTCCTAAAATAATACAGCCAGCTACAAATAGCCCTACAGTACAGGAAATAAAGACAAGAGCCTAGTGGACTTCATCTACAAATGTATATAAAGAAGGGCAGAAAGAAAGTCAATTATTCATATTTTGATCACAGCAGAAGCCAGCAACATAATCAGTCCAGCTGTTTTTATACATCAATCTCAGCCAAACACTGTTGCCTTAAAATCACAACACATCCACTACCTCGATCAAATAAGATCTTCTCCCAATCTACAATTTTACCACAGTAGTTTTAATTAAGACTTACTCATGCAGCTATAATATGCAGAAAACCCACACACAACCCACAACTCCTCTCTCCAGCACATTTCACATCATACCCACCTACTCCAGGCACCTTCGGGTGACCTTTCACTTTCTCAGTTCTGCTCCCCAGTGAACACTGCTATTGACAGATCGTTGGCAAACAACGTGGTAATTTACATCTCAAGATAACAACTACACATACATTAACTAACTTTAGTATTCTTGTAATGTGAGTTAAGTCTGAATCCACCTGGCCTTTCTCTTGTTTATGGTAATGCAAGGCTAGAAATCCTGTCACTATTTCTTCACTTTTAATAAATGCAAGAACATGTGAAAAGACCTTTGTCAGTTCGCATCAGTGAGGTATGAAACAGACTTGCTTGTTCCCCTCAGAAAGAAGGCACTTAAACCACTTTAAGAGCTGTGACAGTTCCAGGATAACAGATTTCAGAAGTGTCATTTGTTATTCTGGGTATACATCTGAAGAACAATCACAGCATGCACTACACTTCTGATGAATAAACAGTGTTCTTTTTTGTAAGTTCCTTACTGGTACAAAGAAAATCTAGCACAGTCTGCCTGTGGAGACAGTAGTGTCAGCACAGCCAGCTAACATCAAGTGCATTAGGGTGTTTAGTTTACTTTCAAAACAGCTTTCCCAGATTAGAGAAACATATCTGCAACAGTAAGGGGCTGAGAGACCTTTCTATCATAGCAAAAGGTTTCAAGAACGAGCTGTTAACTTCGGAATCAGTGGCAGGCTGTCAGATGTTCTCCCAGTGCTAATAAACCTGCTGTGAAAGACTCTCTTAGGGTCTTCATATGGGATAACAGCAAGCTCCCCATCTCTCCCCATCAGCAGATGTCTGCTCTTCACTGAAGAAATTACCCTAGTACCACGAACTCGGCTCTTAAGCGCAGGCAAGCCCGCGTTAGTTCGCAAGATAAACCCGACTCTTACAAAAGGGTAAACTCGGATATTCCCCTTACACTTGAGGAGGAAACCTGGAAACACTAAACACAAGTCTGTCCTGCTGAATCAACACTGCCCTCTCCCGCTGCACAGGAGAGGTTGTTAACCTCCGACTCTCGGCAGTCCTCAAGCAGCTCACGGTTCCGACAGGGCGCCCGATATCGGCTTACATCACGTCGCCGGTGGCTGGGGCGAAGAGGAAGTCTAGAAGGGCTGAAGGAGAGGTTACTGGACAGATTCAAGCGTAGCTGCGCCCAGCGCCATTATGCAGCGCGGGCAGAGAACACAGGAGTACCTCCTGAACAACCTCCTCCCTGAGCGCTTTGGGGCACGCGGCACGTTTTGCGGTTCTTGGCCTCGCAAACACTTCAGCAAACAGCTCGCAGAGCCAGAGAGCACACGCGAACACACAGGGCGAGTAACGCGGCTAACCTGGGGACAACGGGCGGCAGCGGCACACCACCACTGCTTACGTAAGTAACTCCCGCAACCTGACCTGCACTAAGTTAGCAAGAAACGAACACGCCACATACACTGGACCGGACACAAATGTACCCGCTACTAGCCGCTCGCTGCCTACGAAAGGGACATTTGCGGTGGTGTCGAACCGCGGTAATGGATTTCACACCGCGCGCACCCAAACCCTCCACAGCGAGAGGGAAACGCGAGGACAGAGCTGAAGAGAAGCGGGTGAAAGCTCGGCGGCTGCGGTCCAGGCGCCGCGGGCCGTCGCGGCCAAGCTATGAGGGAGAGCGGGGCGGCTCGCCCTCCGGTCCCCCTCACACCCGCCGGGCGAGGCTCCCCCCGTACCACCGCCCGGCAGAGCTCGGTGCGCGGAGCCCGCCCCGCTC